TACTATTTTTGATTCTGTATGTTAAAGTCAAAGTTTATTTTGGTCCATTAACTTAAATAAAATTTATATTGGTCTTTTAACTCTTCAAAACGTTTTGTTTTAGTTATTTTTGTCTAATTAACGATGAATTTAGCGACTGGTTTCTGAGTTTTTCCGCCGTTAATTAGACAAAAATAACTAAAATGAAGCGTTTTGAAGAGTTCAAAGATCAATATAAATTTTTTTTTTAAGTTAAGAGATCAAAATGAATCTTGACGTTAATATATAGGATCAAAATGATATTTTACCTATTTTTTTACTTTTTTTTTAATACTTTTTTCATATTTTATTTAAATTTTACAATTTTTTAAAAATTGAACTATGATTAAAAGTCTCACCGATTCGATCTGATTTTTTTCTTTGGATTGAACAGGTAATTGGTTATTCCCTGGACTGGTATCTAATGGAGATGGACAATTAAACAATCAAGGTAATGAATGTATTTGAAAGAATATATCTATTTGACTAGTTGATTTCTTGAATAACACTTCTTTATAAACTTTTTCTATTGAATCATGGTTATTAGTACCTTACAATACATGCGAGTCATATTCAGATACCATACAATATAATACCGGGTTCAATTAATATGAATTTCTAGTGTATATATAATTTTTTTTAACACTAATCTCGATTCATTCTAATGAATTACTACTAAAATTTTAAAATATAAAATGTCTTATTCATATTAACAATGTATCTTATCATTCTTAACAAAATTTCAAATGTTGATTTTCTTTTTTCAAAACTAGGTTCATTAAGTAACCAAGAAGTGCATCAATCTGGAACAAACGTTCAAAGTTTAGTCAATGAACAAACATTTCAAGTTTCATCACAACATGATACATCAAAACGTGTTCAATCTGAAGAGGTGCATGAATCCGTCACTAGAGGCTCCGTATCATCGGTCACTAAGACCATAGATGAATCTGGAAAACAAACCCTGCAAATCTTTGAAGATGTGGTCATTCATGGACCTCAAAAAATTAATGTTGTAACAAAGAAAAAACAATTTTGGAGTAATTGGGGTGTTATAGGTGGAACTTCTTCTCAAGCCTCTGAAACTGTCACTACAGAAAATAGTGATTGGAAAGTTATATCTTCTGTTTCTCAGACAACTTTGTCCAAACAACCTCAAATTGATTTTCCAGACAAGTCACAGACAGATTTTGTGGAAGTTAAAGTTGATGGTGCATCCACAGGTAAATATCGTATTCACTTTGTTCCAGAATCTGTGTCGCAGTGTCTGACATGATTGTCCGATACTTTTATGACATCCAACATCCGAATGATATTTATACCACACTTGTCTAAAATGTGTCTTTAATAGTAGATAAATAAAAAGTCAAATATTATCGTGTAAATAACGGTTATGACGTTATCAATGTCAGAATGTCTGTATCGTGTCAAATCCCGGTGTTTTTCTAACTAGCTCATATAATTTGATATTTCAGGCTCTGGTGAAGAAGTAGTTTCTTCTGTAACCGAAAGAACACCACTTCTTACTCATAGTAATCCAATTGTTGAAACAAATACGACGAAATTGGAGATTGTTAAAAGTATTGTGTATGGTGGTTTGGCTGAATCATTAGCAAGTCTTAGTGTTGTGACTTCTGCAGCAAGTGCTGATGCTGCCACATGTGGGACTTTCTTACCTAAAAATCTTTTCCTTGTTACTTCATTTAATAAAGTACTATTTTTAAGGTTGTTTATTTTGGGAAGAATATGAAAGAGAAATTAATGCATCAATTTTTGCAGTGAACATTGTTGCACTGGCTATTGCAAACCTCATCGGTGGACTTTTCGCACTTGGTCAAAATGTGAGTTAATATATTCCTTATATTTTATCTTTCAAATAAAAAACCGTTTTTTATTTCTAATACATGAATATAATTGCAGCTTAGGGAACTGAAAGCTGAACAACCAAAAAGATCCAACACAGAAGCAGTAGTGGATCAATACAATGAAGTACTTGGACAAAGAAAGAATTTCATTCTTCATGCATTTATTGCAATCTCTTCATTCATTATTTTTGGACTAATACCTCCAGTTGTATATGGCTTCACATTTCGCGATAAGGATGAAAAGGATTTCAAGCTAGCAGCAGTTGCAGGAGCTTCTCTTATATGCATCACACTTCTTTCTATTCTCAAAGCTTATATCAAGAGACCAAACAGTTACTTAACATATTTTCAAACTGTGTTTTTCTATGTTAGCACTGGTGCTGTTGCCACACTGGTTTGTTACTTAGCTGGTGATATGATGAAGAAACTCATCGAAAAGCTTGGATGGTTTGAACCAGCATCAAGTGTGGTTTTATCCTCGAAGGATCGACATGGATTGAGATCATATTAAGATTAAGAAATGTTGAATTTTGTTTATGAGATTGATTTTGCGTTTTTGCATGCTCATGTTTTTCTTTATTTTTTTGTTTTGGATTTCATTTTTTTGTTGTCTATCTTCCACCATTTTATGTTATTTGTTCAAAAATTTATATAAAAATTAAAAGTGCAATGCATTCTTTTGAGTGTTTGACATTTTAATAATGCTGGCAGTTGATACTACTGAACTTTTGTTACAGTCTCATATTATAATGCTTATGTTGAATATGTTGATGGATGAAATCATCGATTATTGTTTGTGGAAATCTAACAAAAATATTAATATCATTGATAGTAAAAATGTGTGGGACAAAATGTTGAAACATACTCTAAATATTTTTAAGATAACAAACTCCTTTAATTTTCAAGATTAAATACTATCTATCAATATTTGTATATATTTAAGTCTAACAATTAAGACATGATCACTTGACGAAAGTATTTTCATTATTATAAAACGAAAAAGCATAACTTGTACATATGAGAATACAAGTGTCAAGGATATAAGTACGATAATATATAAATTATTTTAGAACAAAATATAATCAGAAAAATGAGGATAAAAAGATATTTATAAACTCTAAAGCTCAACTTATTTTAACTTGTGATTAAAGCAGGAAAGAATACGATAAAGTAAATTGCACGGATGCAAAAGAATGAAGGGATGTTCTCAAAATTCATCAAAAAAGAATTAGACATGTCAATGAGGATAAATTTGACATGGGAGTAAAGAGGTTTGAAACCTTTGAAAAGAAGGAATACGTGACAATATATGAAATATTTGCAATACTTATCTTCATTGTAAATGGGCTCAATATATTGAAAAAGTTTATTTGACTCACGATAGAGTTAGAAAAATCTAAGTCTTTTAAAGATTTGGAGACCGTGGTAGTTGTTACTTTTGAAATTATAAATTTGATTTCGGCCTAATTATTATTTGTATTTTGGGCTTAGCTTTTTTGGGCCGAAGTAATTTTGGGTAATATTTATAGAGAAATATTGTAGTGTTTGGAGTGTTTAGATATTTTTTATGGTTGTAATATTTTTTAGACTACTTTTGAGAATTCTAGGATTGCAAACTCTCTAGAATTAGTGTGTCTAGAGTTTTTCTTAGAGTACTATAGATAGAGATGTAATCCCCCCACACATTTGTATTAAGCAAAAATACAAAGTTCTCTCTTCCATAAGGAATTCTCCAATTTATCAAATTTTTATTCAAACCTATAATATTCCCACACACTTTTCTTAAACATAAAAGGCCTTATTTTTAACAAAGTGGTACTAGAGCTTCAAGGTCGTCAAAAGATGGAAAATAGACGTTTCCCTTTTCAAATGTCGATGCTCACAAAGAACAACTATGACAACTGGAGTATCAAGATGAAGGCGCTACTAGGAGCTCAAGACGTGTGGGATATCGTTGAGAGAATTTTCAAGGAGCAAGATGAATCCTCGTTAAGCCAAGGTGTAAGGGAGGAGTTGAAGGAGTCAAGAAAGAGAGACAAGAAAGTGCTTTTTCTCATTTATCAATCAGTTAATAAAGATATGTTTGAGAAGATATCCAACACAATGACGACTAAAGAAGCATTGGATAAGCTTCAAACCTGCAACAGAGGAGTTGAGCAGGTAAACAATATTCGTCTTCAAACTCTTAAAGGTGACTTTAAACGTTTGTTTATTGAGGAGTCTGAGTCAATTTTGGATTATTTTTCTCGAGTATTGGATGTAGTTGATCAACTTAAAAGAAATGGTGAAGTTGTTGATGAGGTAAAAGTCATGGAGAAATTCTTCACACTTTAAATCTATGTTTTGAATTCATTGTCACCAACATTAAAGAAAACAAGGATTTAAAGATCATGACTATTGAAAAGCCCATGGATTCCTTACAAGCATACGAAGAAAAACAAAAGAGAAAAATTAAACAAAAGGAGACTATGGAGAAACTACTACAAGTCAATGCAAAGGAAGCAAACTATGTGAATTATGATAAGTGTAAATTGTAGCTATTTTTGTATATACTTTTTGTTGCACTTATCGACTATTTATTGTTAATAATCATTGAATAATCCCGACTTTTATGTAAATATGTTTAGTTTGTGTTTATTTGTATTTTTGTGTACATAGTGCACCTTTTGATGTTTTCCATTCATTATGTAGGTATGTATTGTATTTGGATCATCGAGGAATAAGGTGTCGAAGACACGGCTCCGGATGCGCGTTTTCGAAATAAAAGACCAATTTTGAGAAGTTTTTCCTAGGAGAGTCTGCTTAGCGTGCAAATACCACTAAGCGCGAGTGCGCTCGTCGCATTTTGTAGAGCACTGCTTGCGTTTTGACATTTTGGCAGAAGCTTAGTTTTGGAGCCCGCTTAGCGCAGATAGCGCACTTAGCGCGGTTTAGGAGGTTTAGTGTGTAAGTATCGCGCAATCCACTTAGCACGATGAGCCCGCTAAGTGCTGTTTGCTGAGATCAATTTTGTATAAATAGTTTAGAAACAAATTTTATAGGTTTTTATTATCTCTTTCCTTCTAGGAAGAGCTCTGAATCATTTCTTTGTAGCTTAGAGGTTCAAGCAACATCGTTGGATGGTTCATCATATCGATTAGCTATGGGTGGTCTCAGATCGTGTTGAAACCGCGAGAAGTTCCTATTCATCTCCTTCTTACCTTTGTATATTTCCTATGGTGGGTATTGTATGTATATATTTACTCTTATTGTATGTAAATTTGTTGATCATGTGATTGTATGAGATCTCTTTTATAAATTAATATCGGTGTTTATTCTTGATTTTTGCTTAATTATAGAGTTTTGGTTTGTCGTAGACATATGCTTTATGAATCTCTTTATTGAATGAATATCTATTAGTTCCTAGACTCCAGACATAGATTTAGGCTTAATATTCATATTGGTATCGGTTATGAAATGCATCCGGGTTATTTGAGTCGGTTGAGAGATCGTCGACGAGAGTAATACGGGTGATGTCTCACTTTGCGTTCGAGATAGCCTTAGTGTGAGTGATACGTGATGGTATTAACAAGTTATTTAGGTGATGTGCAATTGATCTACAAGTTTAAGTACTTGATGGGTAGAGTGAAATGCGATTCCAGAATGAATTCTCTTAGGCTGCTAATGATTGTTTATCAATTTCTTTATTTGCTTTATTTACTTTTCCTGCATTTTTTCCACAAACCCCTTTTCCAAACATAGAAGGATTGAAAATTTTGAACGGTAGTTTTTCCCTCTCACCAATCTTTGTGGACACGATACGATATAACATAAATATCACCCGATAAATTAATAATTTACTTTTTTCTTGACGCTTTACCGCTCCAGTAAAATGGCACTGTTGCCGGGAATTGATGTTGATAGTAACTACATCACGATAGTTTTGCTTTTTAAGTTTCATAAATATGTATATAATATGTATTTGTACATTTTATCCATACTTGTTTATTTTGTATATTTACGTGATTTATACATTTGTATATAGTATACTTGTTTTGTTTCACGTTTGCCAAAGTGTCGTTAGATGTGTAGTTCCTGTTAGAGCTTGAAGAGATTTGAGCGAAGGCGGGAATGAAGCATTTGGCTCGTCTTAAGCAATATGTTGGTTTGTAAATAATAGGTGTCGAGCTTACGACGTAAAATAAGCAAGTTTTATCGTTTTTCGTTTCGTTGTTACTTTTTCATTCTAGCTTAGGTAGTGTGGTGATCATTCATTAAACAAGTTATATTCAGATTATTCATAAAATTCTCAAATTTTCACTTTACAACTTGTTTAATCAATTTCCACCCATTCTTTTAGTATGTTTATATTAGTTGTTTTATGTTGTTATTCTTTGTGGTTTTTCGCAAGCTTGTCGTGTTTAACTTGTGGAAATGTGTTTGTGTTCTAAATGCTGTGTAGATGTGTAAATGAGGATAGTATAGGTGGTTGTGGAGGGTTCTGCTGGATTTCATGTTGTTGTCCTAGTTTTTTCTGCTACTAGTGTAGCACGCTTAACGTGGTTGAGCCTGCTTAGCGGGCTCTCCTGAGTTGTGTCAGTGAACTATTTTTATTTCACTTGGTCCTCCCTTTTCCCACTTTCACCAAGGCTTTGTATTAGTAAATAACAATAGTATTGTTTTTCTAATTTTTTAGTTGTTGTTTGGACTCAAATTTTGGTTCGGTAGATGAAGTCGCATTTGGTGATTTTCCGAGTTTGAGTATTTCAACTTGAGGATGTATGGTAATGATAGTTTTTGAAGTTGGTACGCCAGGTACTCGTTTATCACTTTCTATAGCATAACATGTTTAGCAAACTTTTCATTTGTATAATTACCATACCATTCATTCTTTTTGCATTTCTTGTTTTTTATTGAATCATTTTAGTTTCCTTTTTACCCATAAAAGTGAGGAGGCTTTCCATTGTTCATATATGCTAGAGGCTACGATTCTTGTTTTAATTGGATTTCATTATGTTGTGTTGATTAAATGAATGCATGAACATGATCAAGGCATTTTGTTTCATTTTTAGCACAACTACCTTAGCCAAATAGTTAATTCACCTTGTGATTGTGTGATCATTAGTAACCCCTTTGAACCTTCTTGTCGATGGCCTTGTTGTTTTTGCTAAATGCTTGTCTATAAGTGTTTGGTTCATCTTTTTGTATGGATATTGATTCTTTGTTTTCTTGAACCCTTAACTATGATTTATGGTTTGAATTTTTGCCCTACCTTAAAAAGTAGAGAGTATTCATATTATGATATGGTTGAATTCAAATTGGAGAGAAAAGTGTTTATGTGCTTATGTTGTGATTGCTATGAGGTTCTAACAGAAAAAAAGAATTGTGAGAAAGAAAAAGAAAGAAAAAAAATTGAAAAAGCTTTGAAAATAAAAAGAAAAACAAAAAGAATTCAAATAATTGTCCGAATAAGTATTGTGATTGGTTTGATAAATTTGGAATGAAGAATAAGTTTGATTGAGATTGTATTGC